TGCACAGATAGCATTTCCCTTTGGTACAAGGTCTGCTTTTTGTTCGATACAAGCTACAAGGACGCGAGTTCTGTCACGGTAAAATAAAAGACCTTCCAAACTGCACGCATGGTTGGCGACGTCTTCGTACAGTATATATAGACTACATGCCCTAGAAAAGCATAACATCTAGAGTAATGAACCTTCCCTTTTCAACTTAACGTATCCTCAAACGTAACCTTAGGGTTTTTCTTCATCAAAGAATTGCGTGCTTCCCCGCGCTTGAGTTATCGTCAGTAACCTAATGATGTATAAGTATTTTGGGTTATCAAGGTTTCTGATATAACTCTCATCTATGACAATGATACGCTGCTTGGACTGAATCCATACATTGCCTCGTAAAGTCTTACCGAAGCGGTAGCTCCATCAGCTGTTGAGGTCTCGGCCTCGAGGAAGATAAATTGTCTTGTCTTTTGTCTTGTCAAAAGTTTGCCTTGATATAATTAGGAGGCTCTTGTCAACCACGTCAAACTAAGACAGGCCAGACCGTGAGTCCCCTCCACACTGGCTACAAGGTTGCCGCCGAACGACATATGCACCTGTCCGGATTAAGAAGTATGCACTGTTGTCAGTCCTAATATAGTCGCACTTTCTGCGCCGAACCATGACTGTCGGTGGATCGCCAAGTGATGTATCAGTCTCACGGAAATAAACGAGGAAATGTTTGCCTCTAGTACGGTTGGCGGTGACAACTGGCCTGTAGTTGATAGACCTCAGGGCTGTATTGGCCATCTGGAGGGCACTGAGGACACTGGCTCGTGCATTAGCTCTTGTTTCGGGAATCTTCAGAGCGGCAAAGTCTTGATGAGGCAAATCGCGCGTCGTCTGAAAGGTATTGATGAATTGGCAGTCCTTGATTGAGTCGCTCGAAGCCGTGACGAATGATGACATCTTCAGGAAGCCAGTCGACTAGGTCATCGTAGGACAAAGTTTGCAGCATGAGAGCGAGGAACATTTCGACGATGTTCAAAAAAAGGCCGGTGCCGTGTTCTCCGAACTTTCCACGATCCACTCCGAGGACTCTACGGCATTGCCTGTCATGTTAGTCTTGTTACTTGAGTGCTTCAATAAACATCAGTTTACACCACAATTCAGATCACTATGAGGCTCCTTTAGCGCCATACCCAGGGCGATCTCATTTCTATATTAAATATCTTGTAGGTTATCTTCTCTGTTAGTAAAGAATAAGGTCATCAGATCACTTAATAGAACAACAGTCAAACTGTTAATATCAGAGATAGGAGGAGAGACTCAAGTAGGAGAGAGTTAAAGGTAAGGAAGTGAACACCAAATATATTGAGGTATGTAGAAACCAACCCCTATTCGCTTCATTTTTTGGCTTTGCGGCAACTTGAACCGGGGGTAGCAGAAAAGAGCTCGCAAAAGCCCCACAGTCGACGCAGCCACCGCACACCCACTGCACAGTTTAAAGCAGCACCAGCACCAGCCCACTCACGAACAAGGAAATGGGCGAGGGCAAGATTCGGGCAGCATTATGAGTTGAAGTAAATCGGCCGCTATTCATGACTTATAGCGTAGTGCTGCTGGTCTTGCTTGTAGTCATATTGTTGCCCTTCTTCGAGCCCTTTCATCATGGTCGTTCTCTTTGCTAAGTTCATCCGCCGCGACAACATCCTCGAGAAGTAAGAGGGAAAGGGGGCCCATTTAGCGGAGGCTCCTGCCCCCTGAGCAACTCAACTGTTATGGCTTCCTGTCCAATGACCTAGCCACACTCACACTATACCCAACGGTAGTCCCAGGGCCAGGCCTCCGAAGCTGACGTCTCTTCTATAAATGTGAGCTTTTAATCCAGGTACCAGTGGTATAAATTGATGCTAAGATCTACAGTGGATTCTTGAACTCTATCACCCAACAGAGCATCATCCGTGGTTGGCAATTGTACCAACTACAACGCGAACCACCCGGATAGGAAAGTGTAAACTCTTCGAGGGCGTATCTCTGTTAGTAACCCATGATTAAAACCGCCTACGTGCTACCCTATCCATCTTCTGCTTCTGACAATAACACATTAATTCTATTCAACAGCAAGAGCCCAAATATACCAGTCTTTCTGCGTCAGTTCTTAATTTACTCGACAACGTGGTCGATACACTTATCTCCGTAACGCAGAGCTATGGAAAGCCCGCAGGACGCGACCCGCGGTGTTGCTCAGGGCACCGATCCTATAGTTCAGTTCACATCATTTCAAGAGCTGTATCGCCAGATTGAGGATGCCTCAGGTGATATCCTCATTGTCACAGGTATATAATCTTCCTCATAGAAATTGAGCCTTGGACTAACTTTTTCTCTAGGTGTCTCTCCTGAGACCGCTGCCACACTCTTAAATCAGGAGAGAAGACGTCGTCATTTTCGAGTCCGTCGATATTACGCCAACCGTAAAACTCTAATCGTCGCAATTCCAACCGCGCTGCACGAACGCCTCCACCTTGAAATATATGGAGATCATTTTTACAAAGTCGCCATGATGAATTTGCGTCATGACTGGGTCTCAGCAGGAGCTTCTTATCACCCTCATCATCTCCGTGGAAACTGCGGAGAAGCCGATTCATCGGGAGGGCCCTATCCTGATCGTGTAGGGTATAGTGAATGGCCAACGCTCGTCATTGAAGTGGGAGATACAGCAACATTGAAGCAGCTTAGGTCTGATGTAGAGTGGTGGTCCTCTGAATCACACCATGAAGTACAAATTGTACTTCTCGTCAAATTTGACCATCACCAGGACAAAATCATACTGGAGACATATGAAGAAGCAGAACCTCGACGTGGGGCGATGACGACACGATCTTCTGCGAAGCCCGTGAGACGACAAGAAATCACGATCACACGAGATGTAACCTCTGACCCACCGACCTATAATATCTCGGGGGGTACCTTAAGCTTGAGTTTCAAGCGTCTTTTCCTCAGAGATCCGAATCCAGCAGGAGGCGAGGGGAATTTTGTCTGGAGCATCGCAGATATGGAAAGTTTTGCAAACCGCGTATGGATGGGATTAGTTGAGGCATAGAGAAACGGACACCCTCGACATTGGTATGGGAAGCTAATTGCGCAACCATGATGGCTGGTCGGGCTGATCGTTTGTAAAATGTAACCTCAACGGTTACTGTCGTCGTTTTCTCTAAGTTTATGTCAGCAGGGCCAGCTGTAATCCAGTTACTTACTGCTTTAATGTAATCTCAGTCAAAGAACACGCTATGAGTTATTCTGCGAACAGCAAATGGTGTGGTTCTTTTGGAGTGCAAGCGATGGACCGCCTAAACAAAATGCTAATGCTTCTCTAATGAAACAAACAACATAGGTGATGGTCCGCTTAAGGTGAATGCTTTGCTCGACATAAGGTTCAAGAAAACGAATTTCTTGATGGGCTGGTGGAGATTTTGATGATAAATGGAGAACACTTGCATGTTCTGTGATCCAGGATAGGGACTTCTCAGGAACGTGCTCTTATATGTTGAAGCTGAGCCTTGCGCTCAATGGATATTCAACTGTGGATAAGCGACGCGATGCAACCAGAGGTAGCACGGTGAAACCTCCAGTGATGATTACAGTGCCAGGCCATGGATCCGCCAGACTCTATACCATTGGGCCTTCTGTCTAACCGAGTTCCCTCTCGTCTGGTTCTATAAAACTTCTTCCCGCCACTATCTGCGTACCAGTGGGCACTTTTGATAGTTTCCTAGGTTTGGGTACAGCCTGATCGAGTGACCCGCGGATAGTGACAATCGTGCCAGCTTTCGGAGATAGGCTCGAGGAGAAGCGCCACGCATCTGCCGTCGCAAAATTTCTAGCTAAAGTAGTATCTTATTCTATAAGTCTTTTGATTGCTTTGATTGTTGCTACACGATAAGTTGAAGCAATCCCGACATGCTCAGGGAAGCTGCAAATCAATAACCATTGCTCCTCTGCCCACCTCAAATGACATCACGGAGAACGATGTCTCCCACTGTGCGTTTCACAAACATTGGAGCACTCTTCAGAGAGATTGACTCTGTTTCTGGAGACGTCCTCGTTGTTGCAGGTATGCATTTCCCCCCATAGTTCTTGAGACACTGCTAAATGACCTTATATATGTTGCAGCTCAAGATTTTACCCATATTGAGATAGCGAGAGACTAGGAGCGAAAAGTATTTCGGTTTCGTCGTCATATAACTGACATAGCCACTGTAATTGTCACAATACCTACCGACCGTCGTGGGTCACTCCATCTCGAACTATATGGTTACCTGTTTCCACAGTCGACGAGTCGTCATGTGTGATGTTGCTTGCTTCGTCGAGGACAGGAGAGCGTGGGGTTTAATCGTCCTTGCTTGCGTTCATCAACTCTTGAAATTGGAGTGAGAGCTTGTCGGATGCGTGCTGGCTGTTGAAGACCTGCATGATCACGCTGTTGTAGAGACCGTTGTATAGACATATTAGGTGAATTAGACGCTAGCGTTTCTTAATGGGGTCTTGCTTCTGAATTGGATTTGGATGTCGCTCGTGATGACGATGATACATCCAGCGAAGGTAAGTGCGATGTTTTGTAGCCGTGATCAGCCGTCATATGAAAGACAAGCCGGTTACGAGTATAGTCCTACTCTACATTAAGGACGTCTAAGACATCCATAGGTGTCCAATCCCTAGTGGAACTGACGCCCTTCACGCCTAGACCGAGACGCTGAGAAGCTTGCGCTGTGGACAGGGCAGCCCTAGCGGTGGACCAGTCGGGAATCTTGCTGGACAGCTTGTTGAGCCTGCGCCACAATGTCTGAGACTTGTCATAATTGAAACGTAACGAGGAGGGTGGGCTCGATCCCCCACCGCGATCCCCACCGTTGCAGGAACTGAGTACCTCATCTCCCAGCACAACTTGCCTTGTTGCTGCCTTGCCGCCTCCATCTCCAGATCCAGATCCAGATCTGCTGCAGGAAACCGACCTACAAGAGACCAGTCAGCTGCGGACGATGGTCTTCCAGCACAAGAAAGAACAGCTGGCTAAGGCAGAGCTGGTCTCTGTTTCTGCAACAACTGACGATCCTTCATTCACTACCGGCAACATGCCCGGCGTCACTGGCGTTTCCATTGACACTACTTTCCGACTTATGGACCTGCCAGAGCACTTCAAGGCGAGGGGCGTCAAATTCACGGTTGATTCTGCCACCACCGCCGACAATGCCGCCAGTGACGGCAACGACGAGAACGCAAAGCTCCTCCTCAAGATCATCACCGACATCAAGCGCAACAAGGCTCCATACAACAGTCTCGAGGAGCTTAAGGATATTGTCCAGACACACCTCGCCCGGCGAGACTACAGCCCCACTGTAAACACACCAGATACATAGCATGCCGTTTATCCGGGTCAACACATCTCACAATAAAGACATCCGTATCAAGTGGCAGCAAGTCCAGCACGCCTCGCCAATATCGACGACGCGCCCGACGACCCCCACCGACGTAACGTTCTGGCTGACCAAGCCGGGCTGCCATATCGATATTGACATGAAGATGCGGCACGACGTACTTTATCGACAGAGGACACGAGGCCATCTGCCCCTACCTCTCCATTGAGCTGCGCAGGGATGGCGAGAGGGCCGAAGACGTCGTGTGACGTCTCTACGAGACTGGCGGCGAAGCCCTCTACAATCGTTTCCGCCTACGCGAGCACGGTGCGCAAGGGGAGACCATACCCATCGCACACCATGAGTTGGATGTCATCTGCCACTATGCCATCGCCATCGGCTGGGACAACTTAAGCGTCTAGCTACTCACGCCATCAAAGTCCGTTCTCTGTAGTGACAAGCCCTCCTGTTCCATTTTACCGGCCATTGTCTTCCAGCTACCGACTACTTCGCTGAAGCCACACGCAGCAAAATCCGAGCGGAGCGCCACAACTCCTGCTACAATCAAGACCCATCCACCATCGTAGGCCTTATCTTCAACCACATCAACGGCTCGCTTAGCACCATCCAACATCGACAAGGCCGAAATCTCAGAATCCGCCGCCGCCGCCGCCGCCTCGACAGTGACACCGACAGTGTGGCAAGGTTGCCACATGGAGCAGCTCAACAGCGCATTCAACAACCGCGTCGAGACGGTCAACCTGCTGGCCCAGTGGATCCAGGGCATTCACCACTGGGGCACCACCCAGTATGCCAGCGCCGTGGAGAGAGACGTCATAGGGGACCGCACATCGAGTTCTGATTCTGGTCTCAGCGGAGAGGAGATGCAGCTGTAATTGGAGGGCCCGAAGACACTGGTGCTGGGCAAACGCTTGCGGACGAGGCCAAAGGCTTGGAAAGGGGATGCTGGATACAAACACAGAGGGGAGAATGACGGATAACGATAAAACATATGTCTGTCAAGACCATGTGTTATGTATGTATCACCCCCATAGCTGGGGCAGTGAACAAGGTCGCTGCAGTTACGAAAAGGATCCAGTGTAGATTGCGGATTCGTGCATTCATGATAATATCTGTCGGTCTCTCTGCCGTGTCTTTTCACCCGTATCCGCCTGCATCCCGATGGCAAACCGGGCCATCCATCACCCATGGAGTGTGCGGAACAACCCATCGCGTCGTGATTGATTCTATCCCATACTAATCAGTCAGATTTACAAGGTTCTGCTCTGATGATGCGCTCCCACTGGAAAGGTAAGGCGGTAGCCACTAACCTACCATTCAACAGCGTTGACTTGACTTGACCCGTCCTCACTTTGTCGACACACTAACAGGTCAGCTTTGACTGCCGTAGATGACGGCTCTTCCACGACGTTGGACGGTGGACGCTTCTTCTTCTTACATAGTCGTTGTAGATGGTCGGTCATAGCAAAGAGAGGAAGAGTGAAATTGGTTGGGCATGACTGGCCCCGACTTCAGGGTCGTATGAGACTTGGGTGTCAGTTCAAAGCGTATGGTGAAACTAGGTTGTTAGTGAATGATTGGATGTAGGGGGACTGGTGATGGAACTGGGCTGGCGTTAAACAGTTACATTTATGAAGCATATGGGTTTTCATTAGTACAAAGCTAAAATGCTACATATTTACGCCTACAAGAAGTGGTGAGGTGAGCGAGAGTCCTACGCGAAGGAACACAGGCAAAGGACTTCGCTACAAGGTAGAAACAGGAGCTCTGAGGATAATCAGATAAGATACAGAAGCTTTGTTGGGACAAATGAGAGTCGTAGGAAGCTGGGTGGTCCAGGAACCGTCTTCGCCCTCGCACGCCAAAGAGGACCGACCGAGCGTCGTCCTGAGCTGAGTGTCGTGGCTCACGTATATACGTAATGCACAATAGAAGAGAGGACATTGTTGGCTATACTGCAAGTCTGCAAGAGAACTGTCTATCATCCTTGAATCCTTCCAACAACAGATCAACTGCTCCATTTGTCCAATCCATCCTCGGTACACGAACCAACCATCCAAACAAAGACGGAAGGCGGGCGTCAACGTGTCTGGAACATCACCATTAGTAGAGGTCAACGATAGTTCAGGGGCGGGGAAGCTCACATAGCGAACGCTCCATCGTTACATTGGATGTTTATGCGCGACAGTAGTTGCCAGCCAAAAGATGACGCCCCAGATAGCACCCACAACGCCGATAAGCACGATGTTGCAAGAATGAGCGAGATGGTCCTGGCCCTTCTGGCGATAGAGCATATCATCCAGTTTAGCGATTGTGGCCAGTCGGGTCTGCACATCGTCGTTATCTCGAAAGACCCCGGCCACCTGTAAGATGAGACCATTGTTGGTCTGCATAACCATGCCACCAGGACCAACAGCCGGGCCGTTCTACGGCTGCCGCTGGTTCTGGGACTGGAAAGCTCTATGGATGGCTGTTTTCGAGTGACGAAAACATGTCAGTCATTTGAGAATTTCGGGAGGGAGGGAAAGAGGCGTAGGCGACGCGACACACGTGACGCGCGTGATGCACGAATGCATGGGACATACGTACCTGAGCTAATCGTCTCAGCGAATAGATCTATGACTCCCTTGGAGCCTGCGTGGGAAGTCTGGACGGGAGATGCCTCCTCCAGGGTGAAGGTGAACTGGATGGGAGTGTGAGGAAAGGGACAAAGGCGCAGGCCACGACGGTGATGGAGATGGAGATCGAGGGCGGAAAACAGCCCGTCGTTGGTGTAGAGGGCCATGGTAACCTTTCCGTTTTCATATGCGATCACACGATCCAGGTCGGTCATGGTTGTTGTTGTCGTGTTGACAAATCGTGGTGGTGATGGCGACGATGACGAAGCTTTTGTCGAGGCCTTTGTCCAAAACCTGGCCCAGTCACGTGTGTTTCGTCGAGACACCGGACACACCCACATAACCAATCACCCTGGAGGAGGCGAAGAAGCTATCCATCCTTTTAGGGCTGACCAGGACTTGTTAGTGTGATGTGGGCGATGCCCTGCCGCCATGAAGCGTTCTATTTACGCGCATCTGTGATTTTCTGTCTGCAGTTTGTCTTCAGGTATTATAGAAGCCTTCGAATTGTTCGATTTTCCACCTAAGAGAAACGATAGCTAGGGCTATTGACTATAATTACGATAAAGTATGCTTTGGTTGCTATACCAATGCTTATTGACAAGTTATACATTTCTATAGAAATATGCAACTCACTTGTAAAAAGTATGAGCTAATAAGAGTAAAGAATGTCTAAGCAAGAGATATTGGTAACCAAAGAAGGTGTCTAGAAAAGAAACTCCAAGGGCTTTTAAGGGCTTTATTCCATTTTTGGCTTTCCAGCATTTCAACTGGGTTGGTAAATTGAGGCTCCCAAAGGGCACCTCCTACACACCTGTTGCACACCCATTGCACAGGTTAAAGCAGCAGCAGCACCGGCCCGCTCACGAAGAAGGAATGGAGCGAGGGCAAGGTTCAGGCAGTAATTTACTCTCTAATGTAATGTATCGTGATGCCTCCAGATGCTGATGCTCATGATGAATGATGAGTGACTCCATACATACATACATACATATAGGCACTCCATGTACTTCTACATCAAAACATCGTAAAACTCGTGCTTACTCCTCTGGCCACCTTCAAAGGTTTGTTTGGTTGGCAATTTCCAGAGAGGTTAAATGTTATTCTCAAATACGACAAGCTGAGATAAAATGTATGATTAGATAAGAAGATAAGACCCCACTAACGAGGAATTCATTACCCTGTCGTATCACATGTATATGACGATACATTGATTGACAACAGTAAAAAAGGGAAACCCGAAAACTGTCAAAGGATAATGAGTTTGAAATACAACCCATTCACACAACATCATACGCTCGTCTCTCCGCATACACAAGCACATCTTCATCTTCAAAGCCGATCCCACATACTCACATCATGACTGCGGACCGCCCTACAACACACCACGATATGCATATGACTCGAGACAGGGGCTCCATGATGGCCTCTTGTTTAACCTCAGCCACACCTCAAAGCTCTCCAGATCCATCACTTTGTACACCTATATCTGCGTCAACACTCCTGCCCTTTGCTGTGCAGCAAGCTATTGAGCTCCTGGAGAAGCACCGTGCCGCCAAGCTGAAGTCGTCCTCGAACCTCGACAATATCATTTCTGTCTCGCTCGAGCCAGCCGAATTCAGATTGCTATCACATTACCTTTGGGGTCAAGAAAACGAGCAACGAGTTCTGAAACGTGGCAACGGCGCCAATCACAGCCCGGACCTCAACACAAATAATAAAGCAGCTGCGGCAAGCCCTTCCCTCGGCGCCTTCGACCCCGACCTCGGCGCGTACCTCCGAGACGAGGTCGCTTATTCGTATTGCTTCCGGCAGCGCAAACTCGAGATCCGCATCCCGAGTATTTTCCACGACACCGTATCCTGCGACGTAACCAATATCATCCTTGACTCGGCGCGCGCCGCCGCCCGCCGCCTCCCCGAGGCAGAGGCAATTCTCGACTCGCTCGAGGTTCGGCAGTCGCCATCTGCTAACTCCTATCTGGTATGGGATTGGGACGACGACGATGACGAGGATAATATAAAGCCTGCAAGGAAGTTTCCTGACGGCGCCATTGGCTTGAAGGCGGCGAGCGCAAACACCCTGATCGTCGAGGTCGATTTCTCCAACAAGGAGGGGCCGGACAAGGTCAACGGTAAGCAATCTGTCAACATCACGATCCAGCCAAACTCCGTTGTGATACGTCCATGCAGCCACACCTCCCACCTTTCTCTTCCCTTTCCATTGGTTATTGGCTCCGTTGCTATACTAACAGGCTCTCCTTCCCAGAGTTCCTCACCCTCGCCGAGCCACACGACCAAGCCCGCACCGGGATCATCATCGACATTGACTACATGACGCCCGCCGAGCGCCTATCACACAATCTCTCCGAGAACGAATACTCCGCCAAGGTCTCCATTCTCCGCCAGCAGGACTCCCTCGCGCCAGGCAGAAACCCCTGCTCGACCATGGACATCGCCTCTGAGACGTCACTGACGCTCTTCCTAAGCGACCTAGCCGCTGATGCAAAAGAAACATCCGCGGCAGACTTCACCTTCACGATCCCCTGCGCCGAGTTGGCTGCCGTGATTGCGCGAGCGGCCGACGCGCAGAGCCGATGCGACAAGGAGGAGCGTGAGATGGCGGCCGTGTCTGCTGACGAGGTCGCTGCCATCAAGGCTAGGATTCAGCGCGGCTCAGGTGACTCATGGTAGAGGTTGCCAGAGGCAGGATAGCTTTGATAGTATATATGTTAGCTAAAACTGATGATGGTGATCAGATGGGGACTTACCTTGGATCATGTAAAGGTCGTGATGCTTGTTGAAAGATAGAATCCGGCTGCTGATTATGATATGATATTTGAGGGAACAAGTCGCTGCTAAGGATGTTGTAGAGAGGAGAAGATGTTCCGGTAAGAAGTCTCTACCTCGGTCTTATCAAGTCTACCAAATTCAGGGTCACATTAAGTTAACGCTCATCTATAGGCCATACCTTACTGCCAGCAGTTCCGCACTCTTCCACTGAACAAACAAATCATGGCGAAGTGCCTCCTCATCCTGTGCATGATGTGTGGTATTTGGCTGTATCTGCCCGCTCAGATATGAGGCCAATTGTTTGGCTTGACAGAAGCCGCATCACTCAAGATGCCGATGGCCAAAGATTGAAATGGAGTCTAGCAAACTACTCCACGACACCACTGAATGGAACTCAACCCAGATCCATTTTCATTACATCAGAGGAGCCTGGCAAACCATACACATGCGTCGCCACAGCTGTGAAAGCTTTACTTCAGCACGAGACCATCCATCAACTATTCTGTTTGTCAAATTACAGTAAGGAAGAGGCTTTCGACAATACGTATACCCCATTAGACAAGCTAGGAGGACAGATCATCAAGCTTCTATACAGAGCTACAGCTATAAGAGAAAGAAGCATAGTCCAACTGATCCATGGATTTCTTGAAGATAAAGATCTAGACGCTCTGAGACAGCTAGGTTGAATAGTAGGAGTCGCACTTCCTGATGTCTATGATGTGACTTGAGCGTAGAGTCCTCCCAGTCCCATGTTACCAGTACCTATGCTCTCTCGAATCTTCTGAGCATTTCTTCCACCATATTCTGGCCTTGAACAAGCCAGGCTAACATCCTACGAAGTTGCTCTTCGCCTAGCCCATAATCATCGCCAGTACCAGGCCTAACGTGTTGCGATGGCGGCACTTGCAGCAGCCCCCACTCCTTGCTTGGACCTCCTCATAGACATCCGCGTTATCCTTCTAGCGGCTCTAATTGGTTCAGTGACCACAGCCCAGTCTGATCGGTGTACTGCTCTTGCCCCTCGAAACCGCCAGTGACAGGTCCTCTGCCAGCTTGCCAAAACGGGATATCGGCAAATATGTCGTTGCTAGTGATATTCGCGACAAATCTGCCGGCGTCTCCCAGATTCCAGCGCATAATCATACCAGCAGGTGCTGCAGTGCCAGGCAGAAGCGGCCATATCTGCCCCTCGCCCCAGCTTAGAGTGTTATTAGGGGCGTAGACGCACCGCGCGGCAATGACATGCCCATCTCCCCACCTAGCCAGGTATTCCGAACTAACATCTGTGCCATCTTGTGTTCGCGAATGCCACCAGACCACGGCGTAAGGTCCGAGACGTGCGTGCCCCCAGAAGGCAGCCTGAAGTGACGTTTCGAACGGTCGGTCAACCCACGTCTTATCATGGTACCCATACCCTTCAAATGACATATCAATATCGCCAATTTGGAGGGAGACTGTTGCATTAGCGTCTGGCAAGGTATTTGCCCAGGCGACCCCTTTAATTGTTTGCTCGTCGACTCCCGCTGCATCGGTGCCGCAGGAGTAGTGAGGTGCGGCAAGCTATGCGCTCAGCACCAGTTAGGAACGAGGGACTGATTCGGTGTTTGATGAGGGCAGAAGCTCACATTGCCTTGTAAGACTACATTGCCTGTGATACCAAGCTCGGGCGAGTTGATGAAGATCTTGTAGACCGGTCTTGGTTCCAGAAGGCTTGAACCTGACCAGCTGACTTCGGTGCCACCAAAGAATTTCACCTGCATACTCTTGTCTGCTCTTTCGGTAATCTTGCAATTCTCGGCATCTACTCCGTAGCTGTAGGCAGTACCGTTGGCAAAGGAGCCCCATAAGGAAACATGGTAAAGCGTTTGTGCCGTGCCGACTGGCCACTGCACCTCGAAGTTGAAGACGACAGTCTCATTCGTTAAAGGGTTCATTGCGTCGAAATACCATCTTAGACCATTACATTAGTACCTGCCATATTGGGGTGTCCAATAATCTGCCTTACGAGTCAAACGTTGTGGCGTTGGGTGCTGGATCAAGTTTGAAGAAGTCAGCTTGACCTAGCGCTTGGGAAGTGAATTCGACCTTGGTAGTGCCGTTATACCGCTGGTTACTCAGCATAATGACGCGGTCTGCACCATCTCGGTCGGCGAGACAGCTGACAAACAGGCTGGGAGCCGCTAGAACAATAGGTTGAGACTTCATGGTGCTGTTCGATAGTAACTGAGGCTGGTGACGACGGCAAGAAGGCGAATGCACCCCAGCCTCAGTGTTCGAGATTTGACGCGCATCTTAACCTTCTGCCAATATGTTTATCAACTATAATTGCCTGCAGCCCTGAGTAAGTAGATTGTCCGGTGTATCCGACGATACTTGCCCAGCTATAAACCGTCTTGTCGATCATCTTCGCTCGTGACCGTTGTCAAACCGGTCTCGGTCTCGGTCTCGGCGTCAACAGTGCTCCATTCTGGTTGCTACCTTACCCCAAGCACTCGGACCAACTCATCTAAGAGTGAGATATATTCAACGGTAGAGTAAAAGGCAAATCTATATCTACCGACATTGCGAAAACCAGGGCCCAAATGACGATGACAGGTTAGAAGGACGATGAGCACAATGCAACGGGCATTGACCTGGCGGGCACACTTTCAAGACAAAGCTACATTTAGTGAAAAGAGGAAGCTGAAGATCAGACAAAAATGTAAGACTGCTTCAGACTACGGCAGGCTATAGGGGTGACTGTTGCAAAACCCCCAAATCCAGTGCTGAAACGGCTTGGTGGGACGAGTATCCTGCCCCATAGTACATTGCTCAATGTACTCTGGGTTTGAAGCCATGAACAAACATCGGCCCAAAGGCTACGGCTACCTAAAGCTACCCGAGGTATCGTGCGCAACAAAACCTTAGGACAGACCAAAGCAAACACCAAATATCGTCACAATCAGGAGAAGACTTGTCCAGCTTTGCTAACACTAACACAAATTGGCATCTGTCCTGCGGCCCCCTGCGATCCCCACCCCCGACCCTCCTTTGCCACGTGGCGGTCTGCAGGGTCGTGCACTAGTGTATGTAAGCAGGTTAGGTTAGTGGGATTCAGCCCTACCTAAGTACCTGTGGATCTTTTGATAGCTTAGCTTGAGGCTGTCAGGTATGTACCTGTACCTGGACCTGCCTTAGCTTAGGTACATCCCGCCTCATCGTGCCTCATCTCTTCTTCCAGCAGCAGCAAAGCAAATTAGATCACAGCCGCGTTGTTGGGGTTTTTTGGTTTGTATCGTGTCGCCAGCGGGGACATTTGTCGTCCTTCTTCTCTTGGTTGCTTGCGCTTGCACGCACGAACACACGAGGTCACAGAATATGGTCATTCCGACTGCCTCTGCCTCTACCTCTACGCAGGCATCAACTGACAAGCCCATAAAGCTACAGACCTCCAGTTCCCACTCCAGTGCCGTCACCGCAGCATTCGCAAAAGACGAAAATGTGTGCTGGCCAGATCGTGAGCGTGGGCTCAGCCACCATCGGGCTCTCGGCCACTTCGGAAGGAGATGATGAGGATGAGGGCGACGGTGAGGACGACGCGGAGGACAGGCCCAAGCATGCCGACGGTGCTAGCGCTGGTAGTAGCAAGAGAGCTGATCCTGTTGCGATCGAGCACCAACCCGACAGCCAGTTTCAGCACCGCGAGGCCCTTTTCCCTGGCGAAGTGCTCGAGGTTTCCTATTCACAAGACCCGAAGACACTCGAGAGGCTTGCTTGGGATTATATACAACATTCGAATGGTGACATCAAAGCCGTCATTGGCATCGCCATCAACTACAAGGACAGCCAGGCACCTTCGACCGTCTCGCTGTGGCGAGCAAGATATGTCTTTGAAGATGCCCCGACGTAGTCACACTCGAGGTTGACGACACCATTCTATACCAGGTACGTACATGCTGTGAGATCCTGGCCTGAGGGCCCGCCCTGCTAGGACTTCAACATTGGCGGCGCGAGAGGCTGCAGGCGACGACGATTGGCCACGGCCTCTGCAGAAGAGAGGCTGGCCAGATGGTTCTTGCCCCTGGAGCTTCCCCAGGTTCCGCGATGGACGTTTCGGGGAGGATTTGGATAGGTTGATACATGTGCCACGCGGAGATGCTCTATGGTGGTCGACAGGATAGGGAGGCCGTGGGGTCTTGCAAGGGTCTTGGCGATCATGTCGTATGCTGTCTTCTGATTGATTTGGCCAAGCAACTACGCTGCTTACGCATGCCGACGTGTGGTTATAGCACCCTTCACGCACCTAGGTAGCTGGATGCCTCATTTGCCGAGTCCGAACATTGGTCTTCGTTGAGATCATCATAGTCATAGCTCTACTGTGTGCTATCCTAGCATCTCAGATCAACCACCTTTTGTAGAAGAATGTTCTTAGTGATGAGCACTGGATACCTTACCTTACCTTATTATGCTAGCAAGTTTCCAGCCACAAGATTCCATTTCCTACAATGCACCAGTCACAAATAAGTGTCACTAATGCCTGGTCACGTCATGCACGGCTTCATCGCCTTCTAGTCCACGAGCCCGGGTGTCCAACAATAAGCTAACGGCTGGCGGATGTCGAGGCCGCGCCTGAACTAAGCTCCAATTATCAAGTGACCAATTTTCTTCAATACGCTTCTTAGTAACAGACTTAGGCAGTACACTGAACCCTTGCTGTAGGCCCCACATTAGCAGGACCTGTTGTGTTGTCTTTTCTTTTGCCTGAGCAACTGGAAGGATGGTATGGTTGGTATATAATGGGGAATTGGTGCTGCCCAGTGGCGCGTATGCAGTGGCATGGATACCCTTTGATCTGAGATACTTGACTAGCTTAGGAGATGGATTGGCAGGGTGTAACTCGATCTGGTCCACTGCAGGAGTAATCTTAGTGCTCTTAGCACTTAGAAGTTTCTCTATATTCTTGATACCAAAATTGCTCACACCGATATTGCGTACTTTGCCGGTATCCAATAGCGTCTGTATCTCATACCATGTATCGACAAAGTCCCAGTCAGGATAGTGCTTCTCGGGGGTTTCAGGGTCGGTACTTGAGGGTGAGTGCATCAGATAGAGATCGATGTAGCTGGTCTATAGGTTTTGCAGGCTAATCTCCAAGCATTCCATAACTCGTTTATGCCAGCAGTTGTCCAGCTTAGTAGTGAGCCAAACTTCCCCTCGAGGAATACCAGATGTTTTGATACCGCCGCCAATCTGCTTCTCATTGTTATATGCAAACGCTGTGTCGATATGACGGTAGCCGCAGGCAAGAGCAACCTCAACAGCGTACTAAGTTTCGTTAGGATTAGGTTGCCATGTCCCTAGGCCAAGAGCTGGGATCGCAGCACCTGTATTGAGAGTACACCTTTTGCTATAAAGATATTAGTCCCCCTCGCCAAGTGTAAGCAGGCGAATTGAAGACATCTGGATGTTTGGAAAGCTATCTTACGCTCTGTTCTGGAGGGAAGCCATAGTCCAACACCTTAAACTCGCTAGTTCTATGGGGCTTAGATTGACTATGTATGAAAGTATGACGGGGAGTGAGTCAAGATGAAAATGTCTGGTGTTTAATTAGTTTTCATAGATACCCCCACGGTCTTCTCCAGTACGGCGGGCCACCCCTAACGGCCCCACCGGGTCTCGAGGAGACGCCGGTTTGGGCGGCCTCGGCCGATGGCTAACACTCCGGACCTTAACGCCCCCGCCCCTTTAGAGCCAAGCGATCTACTCCAGCGCTTCGCTGTTCCCGGAAGGAAAATGACGGGAACCCCGCCTTCGGCAGCATTGCCGACTGATGCCCCGCCTGCAGGGCTATTCACCAGGTAGTGTGAACTCCAAACCCGGCTTAGTGCTTTGAGATATAGACTCGATTCTCAGACAGCAGCATTAGCATTGTATCGGTATTCAGACAGGAAAACAAAGATGGTTGAACCCATGTGCCGCTGCTAAGGCATGTCAAGACGGTCGCGGGTTTCTTCAGTCAGTCAATATACCCAACCATGCCGCACTTCCTTGGCCTTAACTTCTCCTCCCCTTATAATATTGTATAGATGAAGGGAAACGAAGCATCCGCGAAGGGCGTGCACCTCGACTCGATCTTCCCTCGAAATTACGCGTAGAGGATCAATTTGAAACCCTGCCCCTAATCATGTGATCGCGTTGCGTCATGAGGTCGTCGGAACACAGATGTAGTTTGTACTGCTCGGTGTGCCTGAGAGTTCCATTCCAAGCGCGGCAAGTGGGGGCAGTCGACATTCGTTGAATCGAACGCAAGAATGCGGGGAAACCCTAATGTTGAGGTCTGAAGCGTAACATAGAACAGGGTGATACTGTGATACTGTGATACTGTGATCCTGGCACCGAGTCCAGCGAAGCACGGAATGTGGAGGTGAAGGTATAAAATCACGGCAGGTAAGCGCCTCTTATATTGCTAAGCAAAGCCAAATTTCTCTAGTCAATTGCTGTGAGTAATTTATAAGCCACGAAATGAGTGGCCATATACTGCAGATGAGCGCTACCTTTGTGGTGGGAATCTTTCTCGCCGCGTGGCTAGTCAAGGTTTGCTGGCTGACTACAAGAAATGAGGCCATCGTCCTAACAGGAAACTTCAGGTGCTAATTCGAGAATTCCTTTCGTCACTACGCGACATCCCGGGGCCGTGGTACGCCGGCTTCACACATTTATGGCTGAAGAAACAGACGCTTGCCGGACGAAGGATGCACTATGTCCACAGCCTACACATGAAGTATGGCCCTGTTGTCCGCCTTGGGCCCAACGAAGTTGGGATTTCGGATCCAACTGCTTTCAAAGAGATCCACCGTATTGGCAGCGGATATCTCAAGAGCCCATGGTATCAATCCTTTCGGAAAGGAAAAACCCGAGATATCTTCTCCATGACTAACCCCAAAGAACATGCCCAGCGGCGGAAGTTGTTCGCACCGCTCTTTACCAACTCGGCATTGATTAATAACTGGCATGACGAGATCGTAACAAAAGTGGCAATGACCATCAACAAGATGAAGCACGAAGCCCGTCTGACCGGAAAGGTGGATATATTCAAGTGGTGGACCTTTATGACGGCAGATGTTATCTCACGCCTGAGTTTTGGAGAGCCGTTTGACATGTTGCTACAAGAGAAGGTATATCATTCACCACCCCTATCCTAGTGATCATGAGGGCTTGGCTGAAAGTTGACTGCACAGAAAACAGAGCGCATGCAGAAGATTGAGGATGCGACAGTGTTTGGACTGATCTCGTCCGAACTACCACTACTATGCTCCGTTCTTCAATGGATTCCTGTGACATCTGTGCAAGACGTGGTCAATGCAGATGAAAAGGTGCAGGAATACGCAGAAGAAACAATGCTGCGCGTGAAGCGCGAGGGTCTCGGCGCAAGAAATGTGTTCTCCAGGCTCCTTGCCGAGAATGAGAAGGATAGCAATTGCTTGACTGACTACCAGCTTGCGTTTGAGGCCGCTGGCCTTATCGTTGCCGGCTCTGGTACCACCGCTGTAACGTTGACATACCTGGTATGGGCAGTCCTAGCAAACCCCTCAGTCCAGGCTACGCTTGAAAATGAGGTATCAGCGCTGCGGTCCGATTATTCAGATGCCGACCTTGACGCTCTCCCGTACCTTTCTGCAGTGATCGAAGAAACCCTTCGACTCTACGGGGCTGCACCCGGAGCACTGCCGCGTACCGTGCCCGAAGGTGGCGCAACTTTGGCAGGTTATTTCATCCCAGGAGGGGTTACTGTCAGCACCCAAGCATACACCTTGCATCGTGATAGTGGCATATATCCAGAACCAAATAGGTGAGACTCTTGTCTGACCATCCGCCCAACTTGAGCGATCTGGAACATAGCTTACGATCTGACCTACAGGTTCGTCCCGGAGCGGTACATCTCTCCTTCAGGGACATTCCAGCCATCCCAAGGTCCATATGCCCCATTTGGAGCCGGCTCTCGCACTTGCCTCGGCATGCACCTAGCGCGCATGGAGCTTCGACATGGGGCAGCCCTCTTTTTTCGGGAATGTAGGGGCGCCGCACTCTCTCCATTGACCACTCCGGCATCAATGGAAATGATAAATTATTTCCTCATTAGTCCGGTAGCAGATCAGTGCTGGGTTGTTCTCGACACCGTTAAGGAGTAAAGACAGATGGGAAAAGAGATTTGGTGCTATGATTTTTCTTAGACCTTAAAATACTGTATAAAGAGTCCGTGATCAAAAGCTATTACATACATGCCACTCCTCCTACTATAGTAGGTCCCTTGTAAATAAGGATACTACTTCTATATATCTCTAGTTGGCTCGCAAGTATAGAGAGTGTTTCAAGTGTGTAGCTGTAAATGACTGCGCCATAGTGACTTGCGCGCACCGTGTGGTGCGTGTTTCCGCAGGATTTCCGACCACATTGCAGAGTGGCTTTCCCATAATCAAGCAGGAGATACCAAAGTCTGACACTCGAGCAAGATCTGCGCGAATCGTTGCTAGAAATGTGACGAATCTTCTCGCAAAAAAATGGGGGTCTGGCGGAGATCACGTCATGTTTAATCGTCATGTTTAACGTAATTACTGGAGTGGAAATGTTTTGATTCTCGTACTATCGTCTACCCAGGGCAAAGAGTAGTAACATTCGGAAAGCTGATTAGAAAACCTCCTATCCCTCTTCTTCAGTCAATCCTTCGTAATCCCTTCCCTCTGCTTAGTTCGATCGATATTACACAAAGTTGTCCGTGCGCTGTTCAGTTTGCAGCAAATGCTCGTGGTTCTGGGGATGCGCAGAAGTCCCAAGAGAACTTAGTCTGTCCCAGAAAAATATACGTTAGATCTCTGTTGCTCTGGCGACGAAATGGGGGCAGGGGAGAAAATCCAGCGTACTCTTGCGAAGAAGGTAGTCGCGCACCAGCGATTCGATGCCGCCGAACCAGAATATGCCGACGATGGTGGCAGACACGATGGACCGGACGCAGAAGAGCTTGATCCTCATGTTGGTGGCGTGCGTCAGCAGAGCCTTTCGGGCCGCGAGGTCGTCGTCCGGGTGACAGAGCCCGGCGACCTGGATTACACCGTTGCCGATGACGACATCACCAGGGTTGCTGGGTGCGGGTGTCTTGGGACCGCCCTAGGGACCGAAGACTGCAGAAGGCAGCTGGTTAGCAAGCTTCCCGATCGTTTGCCGACGAGGAGAATATGTGATAGATATATGGGCATCATTGGTGAGGGAAAGTGAGATCCAACTGACCATAGCCGAGAAGTCGAGACGCGACCGCAGCCCAACCACGCTCGGAGGCGCTCTCCATAGCGATTGTTTGAATGACGATAGCGCGGTCTGGAGCGAGGCGATGACGCAGGATGCTGGTGCGGCGAAGTGCGAAGTCGAAGTTGAGGTCGAGGCCGAGGTTGGAGTTGGCCAGACCAAGAGGACCGGAAAAACGGCTGGGGAACGCCATGGTAAAGGCAGAGGCTACCGTCTTGGGAGCAAACGACTCGAGATGTCAGATTCCCGATGTCAGATCACGGATGGGCGGCGTGAAAGGTCGTCGCACAGCTTGTCGTGGCCGAGATGGTTTTTCTTTGTTGTGTGGTGTTGTGTCGGTCGCGATCGTCACGTACAAAAGACATCGCCAGGGCTCGGTGAGTCACGGCATTGACGAGATGAAGTCACATGACTGATGTTCTGGCTTGAACTACACATGGACGACGGGATGCAGGCCTTTTGCCACAGCCAGCCAGCCATCACAGCTGCGCTAATCCAGTAAGTAGGCTGGTTGATGATGCGCCTTCGCTGTCTGCCTTGCCGACATGTATGTGCCTCTCGGGAGCATCAACGTCGATCCCGCCACCACGCAGCAAGGGCCGTCAAAGATCATGATGCTGGGCTCTCCGAGCTGACATATACCGATCTTTCCCACTCTCGATACGTCGTTCAGCACATCCTCACGCCAACATCGCTTATCCTGCTCCTTGATTATGCGAGAGCTGGATGCTGAACATGGCCCATTTCCCAGCAAGCATAAGGGGGATGGAACAAAATGAGCGCTCATGACCCCTCGAATCTTATCTTGTATTAACCCTCTCATACGGGCAGTTGCACTCATTCCATCCTTCCAGACGGGCAGGTACAACCATACTACCGGCGATGAGCTGAAGGCCATCCCATCACATCACATCAGCTACGAACGACGCCATGAAGGGGGCAATGAGGAAACCTACCCACCGCTGCGATGAAGGCTGATCCTCCCAAAGCCTGAAGCTCAGAGCCTTGCTTGTACTTCCTCCCCATGGCCAGGGCTCATGAGTTACGATGGCAATAACATCCAATATTGTCTCAAATCGACATTGCAGCACAGTTTCCTGGATCTGGTGTTTTGTCAAGGCGAGTGAGCTTTCTTTTCCAGGGGAGATCAAGAGTGCCACCGTTTCAACATTCAGTCGTGCCTGATGGTACCTTACCGGCCTCCACACCATGCTTGGCTTGTGTGCGCCAACACAAGACAACGCATCATCTTGGCATCGTACAGGGGTAATGAGGGTGCTCCATTGCAGCCTGAATGGTGTCCTCTGGAGACCCACCGACACGAGCGCCCTAAAGTCAATTGCGCACACGTGAAGCTGTGAATCCCGAGGCTGCTATCATGAGGCAATGGATATTTCATGACGGTTCTGCTCGAAACTGCGGCGCCTCACTGTGCATGCAGCGTTCTGTCACGCTAAGGTAGATGTTCTTGGCGGGGAACCGCCAGCGTCCACTTCGACATGGTGAGCATAGACAAAAGTAAGTTCAACCTTGTGTTGTTGTTGGCAGCCCTTGGCCATGGGGCGTGACCAGCGAGCAAATCACGCAAGATGAGCCGCATTTTGCGAGACGGGGTTACTCGCAGGTCGACCGAACGGCCACCAGCCAATAGAAGGTTTAGCTTAGGGATAACGTTCGTGGGAGTCATCCCCGCAGTTATTAGCGATAAGATGGCCAATCGCCTTAACCCGCCTTCGCTCAAACTGGCCTGGAAGGCCAACCTCAAAAGGTCTCCTCCGAAGCTATTCACGTCCACTGGGAGCATTAATTAAGCATCCACCCCCTTTTCATACACCGGCCTATTTCTCGTCATGAGAGGAGGAGCTTGCAAGCCGAGGGCCCGTCGCTCTCGTCTCAGACTCTCCAAGGCGTCACAGGAGAACCGGCCGGACGTCATTGCCAGCAAGATTCTAGGTAAGCGCGCCAAATGCTCCCGCTTCGGAAGTTGGAACAGACCACACGCTAATCCAATGTGCAGAGCTTCCACAATAAGTTGGATGCATATAGTGGAAATTACTACCACAGACATTCTGATGGTAAAGTCACTTGGCTCGAGGACTCTGACGATGGGAATTGAAGGCCTGTGTTTACGGCTCCTACTGCTTCGTACTGTAGTATCTTCGCAATTGAAACATACGTAAAAACTGGCAAGACGGATTGGCAAATGTGTTGAGCGAAGCGTGATGGCGTTGCTTTAGTGGACATACTGAAAGTTGCCGAATGTTTTTTTTTATAAATCCGCTCATGGGACCATGCATGCGGACGTCTATGTTGTCAAGGATTTCTTGGTCGTCCGTCGCGGAGGCCGGAACTGGCGGATGATTTACCACCGGGTGGTAATTCTCCATGGTCGACAGAACACACTATGTAGTGCGAAGAGGATTGCATGAAATAAAAACCAGCAAGAACTTTGGAAGCGGGTCACAATCACTAATGAAGGCCCAATCCTTTCGTGTCTGCAATGTCGTCGTATGGGGATTCTGGTCTGGCACCGAGTGCCGCACAACTTCAACTGGTGTTCTGGTGCGTGCGTAGCGCGAATGGTGGTCGGTGGTTGAGGTTAGGGCCTTCTAGGTACGCTTGAATAGCGCCTTCACAAGCTGCCTCGAAATTTGTTGCGTATGAAGTCGATGCGACCAATCCATTACAGTGAAATCCCCGATGTTGAAGTCATGATGTTACAGAGTGTTATTTAGACAAGGGAAAGGCAAGCATGTATTGGTATTGGTATTGGAATTGGAATTGGGTAGTACAGCTTGAATGAGGAAGGGCAGCTTTGTATGCCCATAGAAAGCACCCCTCTTGAGGGGGCTCGTGGTGACGGAGACAGTGGAATACTCACTGACAGGCGGCGAACAAAGTAATAAACTGCACACAGGAAACACCAACCAAACCAAGGGATTCCTTTTGCGATCGGCTAATACACGACGACAGCAAGATTTTCAGTTGCAAGAGCAACTGTGCTCTTTTTTCTTGATGAACTATGCGAGGATCCCAAGTTTGAAGTGTTCCGGCTCCGATTGAGCGAGCATTTCACGATCCCGTGTACAGTTTGCCCACCGTTAGAAAGAGGGTGTAAAAAGGAGCGGAGTACGAACGCCACGCGAAGCGCGGCACCATCATGTTCCCGGATGGCATGCCCATGCCTGATGGGGACAGTGACTACAGTGTCACTACAGAGTGGCAAGCGATCTTTCATCAACTCCCGAGAACTTGCAAGCATACTACGACCTGTAGGCACGGGCGGTCCACGTGCAAGCACTGCAGACACTGCAACAGCCATCCCGACGAGAATGTTGTCAACTACGGTGATGAGACCGGTTTCTACCCGCCCTCCCGGCATTGCGAGGCGGCTTAACCGCATCATGCAGGTGACTCTGCGAACTGATGCGAGATATGATATTCGCATGAAAGGGGCTTGCCGGCGATGTACCATCATAGAGCGTTATCTACTGGCGAGGAGGAACATCACCTTACCGATGACCCCTTCATCTGCCCGTGACTCGCGGCTTTGGGTAAGTCGGTATGTTGCTATTTGCATGATCAATGCTAAATGGTGGCCGGCTACCAGGGCCCTCAAGGTCGTGAATATCTCGGATCTCCTTGTTGACACGATTCGCAACCGGCAGTCCCGCATCGCTGACCGTCACGGCGTCGCCTCGGGTGAAGAATACACCTATCACCGGAAGATCGTTCTGGCCTTCCAAATGCGCCGCATCCGGGTCATAAACAGTGTTGAATATATCGAAGACGACGTGGGTTCTAATCCCCCACCTCTCTCTTGCGACATATAAGACGTCTGTAGGGTAGTTTGGCGTAAGCTTCATCTCTTTCTCCAGAAGACTTAGTGTCATCTTGATCATTTCTTCAGGTCGATCCCATGCTTGCGATAAGTGTGAACTTTTGCTACCAACGCTGATCAAGACTCGCTTTGCTGGACCCTTTGTTCCCATCGCCCAAGTAAGGTGGGAAATTGTGATGGAATCGTTAGTAAGTTGCATACGCAGCTATACAAGCTGGTGCTTTGTCAGACGTTCGGGCCGGCACAAGTGGCGTGCATGATAGGGAATAGTACGTTCGGTATATGAGAATGCAAAAGCCATGAGCGAGACTGGGTGTGACCAAACGTGACATCAGAATTGCTATTCACCGCGTTCACACTAGTTTTGCCGCTGCTTAGTGTCACCAAGATAGGTACCTAGGTATGCATAGTAGTAAAAGTACTTTTGAGGTACAGGTCCACTTTGGACCTCACTAAGATTACAAATGAATTTCGCGACACCCATTTCGCATTCTTCTGTAATAAACAGAGTTTGGGAGAAACTAAGAAGTATCCTAACTTTCATCATTTAGTAGGTAATGTGGCTCCTAGGGACTTCATTTTTTGTTACCTGGCGGAGGAGTACCTCTGCAGGTACATGGTAGGCAGTTCCGGCAGTTTCGATCCTCCGTGCACCGACATTTGTCATCCCGGTCTGCGTGCCGCAGATATCTTCGCCGCCGGCGGCCCAATTCTTTTGCGCATCCCAACAACCCTCGAGTCTATCGTCAGAGAACGTCAATGATGGACAACAGCAATGCAGAAGCAGCTATTGCCCCAGTAGCGATTTTCAAGAAACGTGGCGCAAAGGCGAACCTTCGAAAGCGGCGAGCGACGCCGCCACCGAACAGTGATAGCGACTCCGACTACACCTCGTCAGAGGATGAGGCTGGGCGCAAGATCAAGCGCAGGAAGAAGAACACTGGCACAGTCACCGCTTCGTCGAAGAACTATGCGTCCGGCGACCAAAATCTCTCGACGACTGTTTTCGAGGCGGATCGCAGCATCCCGATAACGAATTCCAATGATGCGACCAAGCAGAGCAACTGGTTTGACGAGGGCGCCGACGGCGCTCTCTCGGCCAAAAACCTCCTTGGATCAACGAGAGCCCTGCCAAAGGAACCCCAGACATCTGATGGCACGTATAAGGGTCTAGCAAACCAAACGTCATTCATCCAGAAGAACCCAGATGCCCCCAACAGATCGGTCGGACCTGTCAAGGCGCCCACAAATATTCGAACGATCACCGTCACAGATTTCGCCCCTGATGTTTGCAAAGACTATAAACAAACCGGTTTCTGCGGATTCGGTGACAATTGCAAGTACTTGCACGCTCGCGAGGATTTCAAGCAAGGGTGGCAACTAGATAAGGAGTGGGAGACTGTCACGAAGGGCAAGAAGAACCTTGGAGGCACAATCGTCGCCAGTGCCGACAGGAGCAAGGGACAAAACGATGACGACGACGAGGAAGATGATATGCTGGATAACATTCCATTCGCCTGCATAATATGCAAGGGTCCATACAGAGCCCCGATCATCACTCGCTGTGGCCACTACTTCTGCGAGCCATGCGCACTGAAGCGGTATCGAAAGGACCCCAGCTGTGCAGCGTGTGGAGCAGGGACAAATGGCGTCTTCAACTCAGCTAAGCGTCTACAGAAGCTGCTCGACAAGAAGCGAGAGAGAGCAGCTAAGAAGCGGCAAGCAGCTATTGACGCTGGTGAGGAGGTCAGTGATGAAGAAGAGGAGGAGGAGTAGCTGGAAAGACAAAGATGACGGCACATCGTGTCCGCACTGTACACTACTGCATCGCATATGGCGAAATGATACCAGTCGGTCAGGCTCATACCGGCCATAGAAGATTAAATATACAATCTACCAAAGATGTTTTGCAAGGTGCCGAGACCAGTAAGCTGTTCGAGATGACAACGTCGAGGAAGATCAGTGATTTGAAACACGAAGGAAAGGAACCAGAAGTAGTAGAGAAGAAAAGAACAAAATCCAGTCAAGGGCATAGGAAGTGGTCGATCCTACCGGTATTTGAGTTGACGCTGAGGTAGGTAGTGTGCCCTCTATCGAACAAAGGACCTCAGGTATGTATCAAAAGCTTCCAATAAGACACGGGCCCTTATTTCCAATCTAGATGCTCTATAGCACATCCTTCATATTTGCAATAACCACTCTTGACGGCAAGATGGACATCCCATTGTTGGGCCGGAATCCTCAAAAGCACAGAGAGACAGCCACGACTCGTCTGCTCGACCTCGACAAGGACCACAACAGCGAGGCGAGAAACAAAGGCTTGCCGGCTGTCTTGAGTGGGCGGAAAATCCAAGCTCGAGGCCCTGAGTCCATCAATTTCAAAGTTCGCCGGTTATCCTTCGGTGAGCACCAGATGGAGCACGCGTTAGGCGACTTACGGTACGTAACACACCACAACACGACTTGAACACTGCCTCCCTCATCCAACTTGATTTGTCCCGTTCGGGCAGCTTTTGCGCACCGTACTCCTATCACACTTGGGTATTGGCTACTGGGTACACTGCACCAAACGGCTGATCTCCCATACCCGCCTGCTCCACCTCATTTGCAAGACTTGCTGACAGTGCGGTGACTCTCTTTGTACACGGACAGATATCACTATACCGCCACAACTGAGGAGCTCGTCCTGCTTATGCCCATCCCAGAGCATGAGAAGGCGGTTGCCTACTCTTGCGATCTGCTCTGGGGCGCCAAGAAGGAGAAGGCGGCGGCACTCCGCAGGCAGGGTATCCTAGACGGCGCGGACTTCCTCGATAGAGTTGAGATTGGTGGTAGCCCGAATCTACCATGCACAGCCAGCAGCAGCCGCCGCATGAGCAACGGCAATGGCAACAACGTCAATGCAACTGCTGTCAACAGCCGTGTGCCAGACTGGTCCTTCGAGGACAACATGAGCTACACGTTTGTCGGCCTGGTCGCCATGAGCCAGACCTAGGAGGAGGCCAAGGACCAGGCTGTCAAGTGCATCACAAGCCCTCAGAGCCAGGTTAGGAAGGTGCTTGTGCTCAGTCTGGATTACGATCGTGCGACGAGAAGTCTTGTTCGCGGAGGCGATGCCCGCATCGGTGTTTTTGGGCTTGCGCAAGAACCACGACCGCGACGCGACGTCAAATCTGGCGACAAGAGGTCTGCCCACACGTTTCTCGACGAGGTCAGTTTGACCCTTGCTCTGGCGCTAGGTCTCCCTCCTCCCATTATCAACTGTGCCCTCTCTCACTACTGCAACCGGCTAATCCCAGCTTCAATCACCAGTATATCCAGAAAGAAGGCGCAGCCGCTCCCCCTTCGACGAAACTTGTTGTCGGTCTCCAAGACTTCGCCAATCCAATGAACTACGCTCGCATCGCCCGCCTCAGTGAGACAATAGAGATCTCTTTCGAAAGCCTTCGCAAGCTCGTACACCGTCTTGAGCAGCGGTGCTGTGGTCCGAAACACGAAGAAACGGAAAAGCGTGGCATGCAACTCCGGTCTCGGCAGAAGCAGAAGGGGACGGAGAAGCAAAATGCGACAACCAGCCCGGCTGCTGCTGCGAGAAACAATCCGAGCGAGTTCCAGGAGGAGCACTTGCGCGCCGCCGTCGGCTGTATCAACCACAATCGCCTCCGCGCTTCGGTCCGCCACGCGCCAAGAGGAAATGTGGCGATGCCGATGAGGACTGGCGAGTTTTGCGAAACCTGAAGGCAGGAGGAGGGCAAAGTCGAGAATATAGCACTACTATGGCGTCTTCCACCTTTTGTATTTTAGCCCCCAGTGATGCATGAACCTTCCAAGATTCAGACTAAGGTACTTTGGGTATGTCGAGTGAAGAATTATTCTACCGGATTCTAGTACAAGGGGGGACCTGCGCAGTATATATGGTACATTGCGTATACAGACATCTTTATGTCTCTCTCCGGATACCTGATTCAGGTAGGTTGTGTCACTACAGGTGTGTGTTCCAGTGTGGAAACCATGCAGGGTGAGACAAACGCACACACTCACAACATCGTGAAAACCTCACCTGCCCCCCGTCCAGGTGCTACCTTATTCGATCACTTACAAGCGAACGACTGATAGACCGATATGAGTGTCACTTCTGCATCCCCAGGCATCATCAACAGCTCATTTACCGATCCGGGCTGTCACGGTTTCCCACATACCACGCTGAGTTACGCCGCGCCATACCTCTGGGGTCATGATGGCGTTCAAGAACACAAAGACAATGAGACCATTGTCCGGCCTCCTCGAGCTCGACTGCAGCTTTGATCCCAAACTTGTTACTTCTTCCACCCCTTTCTTCTTCTTCTTCTTCAGCATTCCTCACAACACACCTCTCTCCAATCTTGTCATCGTGTCCCCGCCGAACAACGTGGACTTTTCGAAGACAATCAACCTATTCTGTCGCGAGGATGACGGCTTCTGGTTATGATTCTGGTTCCAGCAGGCAGACAAGATGATAGATACCTTTTACCGCGATCTTCTTTTCAAGCTATTGTTATGAATGACCGGGTGTTGCCATACGCCAGGAGCAGCCCATGGAGATGGATTACCGCCGCCATCATAACGAAAAGATGGAGCATTTGGTGGCTGGCACCAAATAGGTCAAATCGATGGGAGAACCAGCACTCGGGGATCTACTCGCCTATGTCAGCGGAAGCAGCTTCGGATGACGAAGGAGACGACTAACTCTCAGTACAAACACCATGGCACCCATCAAATTTGCTACGGCCACAGTCGCAATCCAGCGCAGTGACATGCGCGAATCCATTGCGTGCCATCCGTATCGCAAAAGACCATGCGCGACGAAGATGATCCATGTCGCACCGAGGGATGTATAAAGGGCCGTTCGGAATGCACGAAACCTCGGCTCGCGGAAGCTTGCATTAATAGTGAATGGACTGGATAAGACTGCGATTGCCGTTGTCTGTGTGAGAGAAAGGCTCAGCTCAACTCGAAGGTGCGGCAGATCAAAATAGTGGTCCCTATTACCAGTCCCCAATAGGTGTTTTGAAGGGTAGAATTATCGTAAAAGCCGTAATAGATAGTAGGAATCCCTGCACTCCACATTAAGACGATAATGCCGAGATAGTCTAGATGGTTGAGCAGTGAGGCATAGCCTATGCTGTGGTTGCTAAAGATGTGAAACCTTATTTGGTGAGATATGAGCTCTGCTTCGACGTTTGGCGAGGAAAGGTAGTTTGCAAAACTTACAAAGTTGACAGGGTGAAGCAGACTGAAACCCCTTCGAGATAGAGTGAAAAAACAGCGAAGTCGGCCAGTTGGCACTGGGGATCAGGTGTGCAAACGTTTCTATGAAACCAAAGAGGCAGCACCGCAAAGACAATTGCCCCTACAAAGTGCGTGTAAATGTTGACAGTCTCATTATGCAAACTTGCACAACTTCGTAGAGAGACTGTAGCAGAGCCGGAGGTGGGACTGTCCACTGAGCGTCAGATTGATGGTGAGACTCGGGCAGTGGCCAACCTAAATCATATCTTACCGATAACCAGAGAGAAGGTGCTCGTTATTTCGTTGCCAATGTGGCAATTCATTATACGATAATAGTGATGACGGGGCGAAATTCATTTTTGGGCGTCTGTGTAGAGTTAAGAGTTTTCAGAATTCACCTAGGAGCATGCATCCTGGCAAGAACTTATATATGATCAATTTGTTTACCCTAGCAGTCTCAATTCCTTTCTTTTCAATTCCAACCTGATCTAGACGGACTTGCCGCGTTCAAACCTTCCAAAAGCGGTCTTCACGGCGGCCCGTTGTCCCACTTGGAGTTTAGTCTTCTTTGTTCTATGCCACACGATCCGCAATAGTTTCTTGGGCCCTACGCGTGCCTTCGGGCTACGCCGGCTGCTGAACGATGAATTCTTTGTTTAATAAGCAAAACTTCCGCTGATCGCTGGATGTGAATGTTTGTGAGCGAGAATTACAGGATATGAATGATTCAGACGGTGGTTGCCTAGTGTTTAAATTTCCGATATTTTGACATGGACGCCATGCATCGCGTAAATCAAGCAGCGCCCTGGTTCAATGGTGACCGCGGATCAAGAATGATAGATAAAAAGCCTCTAGCCACTGCCTACCTGCTTGTATGCGACAAACCATTTGGGCTGCAATTTCGTTGCGAGAGTAATTACCCCATCTTCATTCTTTTCCCCCGGTTAGCGACACAGCACAGGTCTTCCCTGGTCATTCCAAAACCGCCGATTTACGCCATCATTACAGATAATCCGCTCATTGCAGAGAAATATGAGTCTGGTACCATTGCCAGCTAACCGATCTCTCCCCAACGCAACTTTCGTTGGCTTCATGCCTGATCGTGCCGAAAGGGGAACCTTGTCGTTACTTTACTCTTGCCTCTCAGTTCTGACACTATGCATTTGGGCTGCCCTTCATCTAAATCTCCCAGCTCCGTCCGACACTTCTAGGAGCTACATTCGTCGGTACATCAAATGGAGTCTGCTAGCCGCATTTTGCTGGAAAGGGAAGGAGGGTAAGAAGTGGGTTTATATTGCCGCTGGGTTGATGAACGGAGATAGATGGAAGAGTCAAAGGTGCGGGCAGGATGAGGGTGGTGGGCGATGAATGCGCTCGCTAGGAGTTTTGGGATGCAGCGGGAGCCATAATAACCATTTCTGTCATTTCGTGAACGCAGCATCCCTCCCTTGGAACCGCTTACATCTGAGACCAGCTTATCGAGAGATCGTTGAAGTTGAGCTAGATCGGTTCAGACGTCCGGTGCTAGGAATGCCGATTGCAGAGCTCGCCCATGCCCATTCTCAGTGCACCAGTGGGTATCTGCCCTGCAATCCTCCACATGCACACGCACAGCGATCCTCTCAGTTGATGTTGGTCAGCTGATTCTCATTGAGAAAGAAGTCCAATCTGATATTCGCATTTCGATCCCTTGGAACTCCCCAACATGCGACCTATCTTAACAACGCTGGTAATTCTGCCTACAGAGAGTTTCGAATTGCTCCGACAGCACCTCTCGAGACATCTACTATCCTTCCGCCCGAGCCTGCTATTGAGAAAGAGCAAATCCCCGACTACAACGCCCACCAATTTTATCCTGCGAATCCCAGCAAAGTTCCTAATCAGAGGTACAAACCAATTGTGAAGCTTGGGTGTGGTCGCTGTTCTACTCTTTGGCTTGCTCAAGATGTTAGCCGGTAAGTGCACTTTAGCTCTGATAGTTATCAAGCTCACCCTCTGTAGTTGGAGATGGCGTTCGAAACCTTACGTGGCCTTATAGATCAACAATTGCGATTTCGTCGACAAGGAAGCTGCTCAGCATGAACTGCAAATCTCTGAAACTTTGGGTAGTACGACCCCACTGCACGAAGGCTTTCCATATGTGCGAACGCCTCTCGACAGCTTCGAAACGACGAGTCCAGACGACTCACATATATGCTTGGTTTATGAGCCCATGAGGGAGCCACTGTGGTTGTTCCAGAGGCGCTGCAGAGATGGGAAGCTCTCTTTAAGCTTCCTCAAAGTTTATTTGACCTTCTTGCTACTCTCGCCCAGGTTGTCCGACTTATCGCGAGCACCGGCCACGTGGGGAAGACCGACGACTTCACTATCAAGCCGATGGAGCAGCATTCGTACCTCTTGAGTGGCTTCAGCTGGCATGCCTCACCCCGGCTCTTGTCCAGTGGCACGGCTCTATCGACTACCGCGGAGGCAGGCCGTGACCATGTCGATGCGACGCGTACCGGACCCCAACATGGCAGAGCCATTGATGCTAGAGCTCTTGCATCGCGAAGGTGCGAGCCGTCATGCAGCAATGATGATGGTGGTTTGAGCGACAGCGATCCTGATGTCAGCAGCGACATGGACGGGTGTTCGAGCGAGAGGATAAACATCCCATGAGACCCTGTAGACGAGCAGCGCTTGGTGGCATGGAAGAAGGCGGGCAAGCCTTGGAACTGGATCTTCAAA